TGGTGCAGGATTGCATCAGGCGAGGTATTTTCAGCACAGATGGGAAGACCTTACCCTTGTGCAAAGCACTGCTAAAAGCTCACTTGGGGGGGGTCGTGCTCAGCTCTGGTAATGGGGTGAGAGGATGCTGAATCAGGGGAGGGAGGGAGGGAAGGGGAAGGGCTGCTGTTGGTCTGCCCGGACAAACGGGGCCTCTGTCACCTGGGAGGAGATGAAAAGATGGAGCGTTATTAACCCAAAGGATCAAAGGGAACATAAATTGGTTGTGGATGTATTCAGACTGAAAACTTTCCAGCTGCCTGGCAGTGGAGTCCGGGTCTGCTCCTCCAAAGAGAGCCCCTAAGCATAAAAGGGACAAGCTCGTTTTATAGTGTAGTTTGACAGATCGATGAAAAGGGGCTGGGTGTCAGAGCAGGGACAATCCCAAGTTTAGAAACAAAGCTTGGGGCAGGGTGCTTTAGGTGGCCGGTTTTCCTGGTATCCTGAAGAGAGACTCGATCGCTGCTTCTGATCATGTTTGTGCCTGATTTGTTGCCCAATTCATTCAGGTTTTGGGTCCGTCTGCTGCTCAGCCGCGGAGCTCGTAAAGGACTTTTTTGTGATGCCTGGATGCATGAGCTAAGGGCTGAAGGACAGGACAGGGGAAGAGGGTCACTGTCCTGGGAAGCATTTGGTTTGAAAGGTATTTGGCCACAAATAGCCAGGCTGTCGGTGAGAGCAGCGGTGCTTTCAGCATCCCTGTTCCTCTGGAACCTGGGAGACGCATGTTGCCAACAGCCAGGCTGGCTGCTGGGCTTCAAGGTCGGGAGGAAGATTCCTCCCATGGCGGAGACCGCCAGGACCTTTGCTTTCCGTGATAAAGAAGCCATTTTACTGAAACCCCCAGGATTTCTCAAGTCTCCAGGTAGGCTTGCTGCGAGTTGGAGGTCGTGAAGTGACCAAGGAGGGAAGTTTCCAGTACCAAATTTCCTCCTCCCAGGTTAGAGAAAATAGCTCAAGCTTGGAAAAAAACATTAGTGTAGTTCAGATGCTCCTTTCCGCCCTTTTGGTAGCTCGCTGCATTTGCTGGGTATTGGCTTTTTTTCCTTGCTGTAAGTAGCATAGTGATAATAGGTAATAAGTATATACATAAAAGTAATTTAAAAAAAAATAATCAAGTTTGCCATTTCTTTTTAAGTGGGCACTTTTCACAAGCTTGCAGAAACGAACAGTCGATGTCCATTTTCATATGACTGTGCTAGAAATAAAATGAGACTGTGTGATGGAAAACCGGGCTATGGGCTGGGCTCAAACTTGTCTGGAGATCCAGCTCTGTATTTGTTTCCATGCGCTGCTGTCCCCAAAGAGGCTGAGCCCTGGGCAGGACCGTGCAGAGACATTGGCGTCAGAGGAGTTGCTGGAGAAAACCTTTTCCTCGAGTATTAAACTAGCGTTTTCCTGACCTTTTGCTGAACTGAGGGCTGGCACTCTGGAAAAGCCTGCCGTGCTCCTGAGCTGAGTAAGCTTTAGTTTATTTGGTGTATGAGATTTGGAGGGTCAGGAGGGAGCTGAGGCTGGGTTTAAGTGAGGAGGGGAGGAACAGATAACACAACGTTGAAAGCTCATAAACTTTGTGCGAACTAAATAAAAGGTAAAAGGAGGAGTAGAAAATGGCTGACTCAATGGATCAAGTCAAAATATTTGCCGTGTTAAATATCCCATGAGGCTCGAGTTCATCTTTCTCATGATGGGCAGGTGGTGCTGGCTGCAACGCATCTTCCCTTTAGCAAGTGGTGCTTTACATACTTTTGATAGCTCTGACAGCAGCCATAAGGCCCCTGAATTTAGACGGCACAATTTGGGGTGCTTCAGTAACTCCAAAACCTCTTCTGTGAGTGTGCTCATCAATATTCAAAATGTTTGGCATCAATTATTAATGACTTTATTTCCAAAACAAATACACAGATTTGCAATCCACTTGGCAGGTTGGGGTTTCTCACTGCTGAAGCCGACCTGGATGCTGTGTGGAAGGCATGCCTCCACCCTTAGCTTTTGCCACCCCAGGGGCTCGTTGAACTACTTACACTCTCTGCTTCTGCTCAGGGAGAAGGAGGGGGATGAATTTGGAAGGGTTGATTTCCTTCTCCCCGTTGGTTGAAAAGCTGGAGGACACTTTGTCTCCTGGTGCAGCTGCAGCTGTGGTGGGGCTGCTTTCTCTGCCCGAAATCCCACGTGCTGGCGCTCAGCCTCTCCTGCTGATGCTCGGGAGTCGTGCCACAGCTTGAGTGACCCCATCCACTGGGATCGGTGGGACCCCCCACACTGCGGGTCATGCCAAGCAGGGTGATGGGCTGGCTTCTGCTTCTCCAACGCAACCAAATAAAGCTGTTCCTTTTCTCTGCTGTTTGATGCACGCATTTGATGCTTCCCATCATGTTTCCAATTCCGCACAAACAGGTGTTCAGTGCCGTGGCACACGCCTGCAGTTTATACCGGTTTGGGGAATACCCGATGTGCATCTGGACACCTACCTGCCAGAAAAATACAGCCTGCCTGCCGCAAACCCTGCCTCTCTCTGCAGCCTTCTGCACTGATTTCCCGGCTGGGGCTGGCACAACGGCGCACCGTCGGCCGAGGGTGTTTTTCCTAGCAATCCTGTTGCAATATCAGCCTCATTTCCTAGCGTGTGAGACGTACCTTTGGAAGGATGTGACAGGCATCCAGGGTGCAAACAGCAGTTCCAAAAACCAAGGTAGCTCAGGTAGGGTGAAATGGGCTCCATGGCAGTGGCAGTCTGATTTTCACTAATTGTGGAAATAAGATTATCGCGTCGTCTTCACTGATGAGTGCCACTGCTCCTGGATGCTGCCCAGATTTTTTTTGGCTGGTGAGTGACAGCAAGTGCTGATGGTCATCCTGGTCCCACACATCGTAAACCATTATGCGTGTTGCACGTATTTTCTTGAGATTGAGATCGTCGCTGTGGAGCCATCGCTGTGTTTTCAAATGTCTGTTTGAGTGACAGATTTGTTATTTTTGCATCAATCCATAGGCACGACTGTTCTTAAGAACAGGTTTTTTTTGGTCTTCTTTACTGCCTGGAGGTGCTGAGCTTCAGCATGACCCCGAAGCACTGCCATGCAGCCTGTCAGTCATCACCGGCCATGCTGGACTGCTTTTCATGTCACTGATGCTGAAAAGTTTTTATAAATACAGTGAGCTGGCTCCTTGCTGAGACCACCCAGCACCTCCAACAAGCTATTTAGGAGCCTACAAGAGAGAGCAGTATCATTGCGCCCTATTAACGCTGGCTTGTGTTTTACAGTGAAGCTGGAAGGCATGTTCTTGGGGGGCTCCTCACGCGTGTTCTTGGGGGGCTCCTCACCCATACTCAGCTCATATTTAACCATAGAATCATAGAATGTTTTGGGTTGGAAGGGAACTTTAGAGGTCATCTAGTCCAACCCCCCTGAAGTGAGCAGGGACACCTTTAACCTTATCAGGTTGCTCAGAGCCCCATCCAACCTGGTCTTGAATGTTTCCAGGGATGGAACCTCCACTACCTCCCTAGGCAACCCGTTCCAATGTTTCACTACCCTCATTGTAAAGAATTTCTTCCTTATATCTAGTCTAAGATGACTTAAGTATGCTGGCAACGATATCTTGCTGGCTCTTGGCCTTTCTATGTGTGTTTGATAACAGACGGGATGGCGATTTGATGGGGCAGGAGACAGCAGCTCTCTGCCCATGCTGTGCTGAGGCAGAGGAACATCATCCACCAAGCCAAGAAAAGCGCGTCTGAATGCAATTTTTATTTTGTTTTGGTGTCTCTTTTTCAAGTGTCATGGTTTGGCTTGAGATGAGAAGTGGTGGCATGACATCCAGCCTGACTCCTGGCACTGGGTGGTAAAGATTGTTGCGGTGGCTGACAAAGGCAACCCAAAACCTGGAGTTTAGAGGTCCAACCTAGCCAAATGGCAAGGAAATGTGTATAAACAGTGAGCATAAATAAGCGCAGCAGCAGTTTACCAGAGGGTGCGATAGGGTATATGATCACACAAAACCTGAATAAAAGCTTTACCACCTAAAATATACAGTCTCCCTCGGCCCAAAACTAGAGTTTCTGTGATGTACAGCAGATTAGCTGATCATATTGGCTTTACTCCCCACGAAGATGTGATTAAATAGTTTGGTGCATTCTCTTTTGTCAAAAATTATTTAGTTGTGTTTCTAGGTCATTGTCTATGGAAGAAGAATGCGTGTGTATTTAATGCATTAAAGTGTATTTAGGCATCTTCTAAGAAGAGATACAACAAAAAAACCCCAAAACCTCTCCTGCCCAGTCTGTCCCCAGACCTTTCTCCTATCCTTGTCCTTAGTGTGTCATGCAGCACCAGTCCTTCTTGAAAACCCATTGCTGAGGGGTCACCTCAGCAGCTCGCCTTCATCCTCCTCTCACTTCCTGACATTAGGAAGAACCTTGATGCCTTTACCCCAGAGCAACGGAGATGATTGTCTCCACTCGGAGACCATTAGTGCTTGGTGATGATCGGCTCAGTTGTCCAAGAGCCAAGTGACTGTAACAGGGTGCATAAGGCGCCAGTGGGCAAACGTAGGAGGACAGGACCTCTGGGCCATTACCCACTGGCAGACACCATCGTATAGTCCTCCTAACAAGGCAATGACTAAGATCTTAAATGAGATGCTCTATTCTGCAAAGCCAAAATGCAGCTTTGATTTGCCTGCGGTAGTCTGTGTATTTGAGGCATGCAGCTGTGGCTTAGCTTCTGTATGTTTTCCCGAGGGATAACAACACCTTCAAGCCCAGGTGTGTTCGAAGACTTGGACTTGGGCCATCCTGGCCAGCTGGTTTCACAGCGAGGTGCAATGGTGACTGGGATGCTCACCCATTTCTGGTTCTGCAGCTAGATGATGGGGCACATTGCATGGCCAGGATGTGGCAGCGGCAGCCCTTGGGCATGCGGGTCAGGACTCGAAGCTGAGCCTTTGGAGATGGTGCGATGGTCCTAGGCTTGTCCACCATGCCCCTCTCCTCCGTGTTCACAGCCAGACAGCAGGTGGTGGAGGAGGTAAGGAAGGGTACAGGCAACAAGTCTTCTCATGGCATCGTGGTTACACGGTGACTTCCTGAGTTGCAGCAAGCTCTGCACAGGCTCCTCTGACCCACCGGAAGCTCTTCCTCTCCTCCCTGAAGACTGTTGACACCATCCCTGTGTTTCTCAGTGTTTTCTTATTCTCTGTCACCAGGCATCAGTGCTGTGCCATGACTTCTGCCCGGGATGTCCTGCAGTTTCTGAACGCCTGTGTGAGGTGCAGGCTGCCACCTCCTGCCTCCCATCCTACCTTGCTGCCTGTCCCACCTGCAGTCATCTCAACCTCTGCTACCTGAGCACGTGGAGCTGATCTCCACGAGAAGAGCATCTCCTGCCCTCTTCTCGGAGGGTTTCCCCCTTTTTTGGACAGTTGCAACACAACCTAGAGCAAGCAGATACTGTATGGCTCAAAGGGAAAATGCATCCATGCTGCTTGAGAAATGTTGCTGAATTTTGAGGGGTTTTTTGAGCAGGTATGACTAACCGTTATTCACTTGGCTCCGGGACCTGCCAGGGACCACGGTTTCTCAGACGTGACAAAGCAGTTTCCCACGCTGAATAGCTTTCAGATGAGGATTTGACAGCTCCTCTGAAGGCTGCAGGGAAAAAAAAAAATCACCCTGCACCAAAATATTGCCTGGTGCAGATGTGACAAAATCCAGTGTTTCAGCTGGTCTGTTTGAGGTTGGCATGCCCTCCTCCATCCAGCCCCGGGTACTGGAGGCACGGGCGTCTGCGTAGGTATCATCAGGGCAGGGAGACTTTCAGAGGCCAGATGCCAATAACTGAGAGCAGCCTTTGAACCTTTTTTCCCCTTTTTTCTTCCCTGCCAGTACAATGTTGCCTTTTAGCCTGTTCTGAGTCTTTCCTGGCAATGGGGGTTCACAGGCTTCTCCAGTTCCCGAGAGGGATGTGCAGCTGACGCCAAGCTCAGAGCCTGGCTCCAGTGGATGACCCTTTGCAAGACCAGTGCTCTCCTGAAGGTTGTAGCCTTGTGAATGTGGGGATTTATTTTGGAATTTGGCTTTATTTATGGATTTTGAGCTCTGTTAGGAGGTGCTTGGAGTGTGCGACCTCTTCTGACATGGGTGTCAGGGTGCTCCTTCTTGGAGTGTCCTGTCCTTGGAAGTTGTGCATGGGCATGAAATCAATGTTAGATGTCTCTTCTTCAGCTCTTAGATGGATTCAGAGGGGTCCTGCCCCTCTCGCCAGCCCACGTGAGACCCAACTTGGCCTGCCACGGGGAGAAAGAGTCTGCTGGTAGCTTGTCTCCTTCCTTCATTGGTCTAGATATGGGGAGTATGAAGACATTTTGCCATATTTAATGTCTGCAAAAGGATGAAATTTTGTGTGGGAATTACTTTCAAAGATGACACGTTGTAGCTGTTAACCACTTTTTTTTTTTTTTTTTTTTAAACCAGAAAAAACAGATTGCAGCCTGGGAAAAACAGCGTGGGTTTTTTTATTTTTTTTTCTTTCATCTCCTGAAGAAAAATATTTCAATTACAGATATGTGAAGTTATGAGTTATAAAATAGGAATAGCTGAAATTTGGAAATATATAATAAGTTCTTAAGGGACTTGGTAATTTGCCTTCCTCTTGTGAAAAAAAACAATTCAGCTGATAATACAAAGCTTATGAAAGGCTTGAGGAAAATGCAGTGCTTATCTAGATCTTTTTCCACATTGACTCTGAACTGTACTTTTTCCTTTGATGAAACATGAAATTACTTTTAATTTATTTTGTTCCAATCCTAGTTACATAAACTATTATTTGATTGTACAGCTGGACTGAAAAACTGTAGGAGGTCTCACATTTAGGATTTTGCTGCCTCTTTCTCATTAAGCCTACAGACTGATTTCTTTAAATGCACCTATTAATCTTCTTAGGGAGACAAATTGTTGTTTGGTTGGGTTTTTTCCTTCTTTTTTTTTTTTTTTTTTTTTTTTTTTTTCTGGATTAGGCCCTGGAATAGCAGAAAAGAAAAAAAATCTTGTTTTTCTTCTTTTTTTTTTTTTTTTTTTTTAAACACTAAACTCCCAGTTAACTGCCAGAGTAAACAATGATGGTCTGAAGCCTTTCCACGTACGTCTGCGCAATGTTAGCACGTGTTGCCCTGGCCAGGCTGGGTTAGTTTAAGCACCCGAGGTGGTTACAGCTTAAACTGTTCTCGTCGTGCTTGGAATGCATTTTTTTTTTCGATTTTAATTTTGCAGTACGCTTTTTTGCTACCTCATCGACGGTGACTTCTGTTGTGTTGTTGACTCCAAGTTTGAGACTCATTGTGGGGCTCCAGGTTTGGGACCAGTTAATGTGGTCCTTGCAGGACCAGCGATAGGAGATGCAGTGAACCATGTGTTGGCCTTGAAGTGTGCAGATCTTTCTTGTATTTCCTCTGAAGTGCATCAGCTTTTGCTGCCTTCTGCCCACCGACGGTAAGGCACTGTGTTTTGGGTTTCTTTTTACCTGTGGACTGCATCTCCTCTGCTGTGAACCTGCGAGATGTCTGCAGCAGATAGTGCCAGAGCACGTTGTGTCGGGGCCAGATGGCATCTATAGCTTTCTGTAAATACTCCTGACGCCGGCGTACGTGAGGAGGTGATGCTGAGTTCTGCTTACATTGCTGTAAATCAGTCCATGCTGCTCAGCATCTGCCCCGACTGTCCCTTTGTATTTACGGCAGCTCTGTAGTCCCAAAGAGAAATTTCCAAGCCTCCTCCTTCCCCCCTGCCCCGGCTGCAAGTTGTTGTGGATGCTTTGCTTGGGAACCCTGTAGCTGGGGAGGACACAAGGAAAGATGGGTTGTTTCCATCTGTATCGAGTGGAGATCTTCCAGCCTGCGAGTCCCACAAGCACACCCCCAGCCTGCCCTCCTCCCTCGGGGGGAGATCCCACCACCGAGGGCTCAGCAGCAGAGGAGGCATGTCGCCCTGAGCCATCCTTTGAACCTTTCACGATGGTGATTTTCAGAGCAGGTAGAGCCTGTTTACGGCTTGCTTAGGCTTGGTTTGGGCTGGTTACGCTAAAATTATAACAGAACATCAGTTCTTGTTTGAGTGGAAAAGATGGTCCACGTTACTACATTATATGCCATCGATTACCTTAACGTGGCAAAAATTAAAAGTATCCAGAAATTATCACCCTGGGAGAAAACTCTGAAGAAGTATCTGCTTAGGTGGCCCTTTTGTACTTTATTTTATCTGCCTTTCTCATCTTGAAGCATCTCCTAGCTGCACTGGTTAATGGATTAGGATATGATTCCTGATGGCTATACAACTCCGCTTCATCCAACCCATGGTGATAATTACCAACTTAATCTTCATTTATTATTAACTAAAAATACAGTCCCAAACACTCTGAATGGACAAATTATCATGTCTGTCTTGTTCTTCAAAATGTGCAGACAAAACCAGCTAGCTGCTTTGGGTAGTAATAAAATGCTTTCTACTTACCAACATATCTAAAATCTGGTTCGCTTATCAAGTAAACTTCTCAGCCTTAAATTTTACCTGCCTCCATTTCTGCCAATTAAGCCTTTCGATGGGACCACGAGGATGGGTACACCAAATACGCAGATGCGTCTGTCTCTTTGGGGACAAATGTTCTGATCTGAGTTATGTGCAGCAGGGAACTGCGTGCAGGGACAAGGTACCTCAAAGAATTGCAGATGCCGGAGAAGTGTTTTCCTTCAATCCTACTTGTCAAGGGAATTTCAGACTCTTCTATTTCAAAAGTATATTTAAACTGAACAGCTTGAAATATTGAAGTTGATGGTGTCTCTGACAGTATTGGTAATGCATTCTTCCTCAGGTTTGCTTTTTCTTTCCTGTTGCAAGTAGCAAGTTTTACAACACAAAAATGTAATTAATTCCGTCTTTGGTTTGCCATTCGCATTTGGGCTTCCAATTGAAATCCCTGAAAACCAGAAAGTGGAAATCTAAGACACACAAACAGCCATATTGACCCTGTCCTGTGCAAGGCCATTGGCTGTGGCCCCAGGGCAGCGTCCCCAAGCAGGCTCTTGCAAAGGTGGTCTCATCTCCAACAAGAGACATTACTGGGCCACGTGTGCTGGTGTGGAGAACATCAGGGATGGAGAAACTTCTGCAGCTGAGAAGTGTTTCTGACAACCACAACCTCATCACCATGTACCAGTACCTAAGGGGTAGCTATAAGGAAGATGGAGACTCCCTTTTTACAAGGAGTCACGTGGAGAGGACAAGCGGGAACAGACACAAGTTGCTCTTGAGGAGATTCCAACTGGACATGAAATTTTTCACAATGAGAACAGGCAACCATTGGAATAATCTCCCCGGGGAGTGGTTGATTCCACCACATTGGACACTTTCAAGACCCAGCTGGAGAGGGTGCTGGGCCATCTTGTCTAGACTGTGCTCTTGCCTAGAAAGGTTGGACAAGATGATCCTTGAGGTCTACAACACAAAAATGTAATTAATTCCGTCTTTGGTTTGCCATTCGCATTTGGGCTTCCAATTGAAATCCCTGAAAACCAGAAAGTGGAAATCTAAGACACACAAACAGCCATATTGACCCTGTCCTGTGCAAGGCCATTGGCTGTGGCCCCAGGGCAGCGTCCCCAAGCAGGCTCTTGCAAAGGTGGTCTCATCTCCAACAAGAGACATTACTGGGCCACGTGTGCTGGTGTGGAGAACATCAGGGATGGAGAAACTTCTGCAGCTGAGAAGTGTTTCTGACAACCACAACCTCATCACCATGTACCAGTACCTAAGGGGTAGCTATAAGGAAGATGGAGACTCCCTTTTTACAAGGAGTCACGTGGAGAGGACAAGCGGGAACAGACACAAGTTGCTCTTGAGGAGATTCCAACTGGACATGAAATTTTTCACAATGAGAACAGGCAACCATTGGAATAATCTCCCCGGGGAGTGGTTGATTCCACCACATTGGACACTTTCAAGACCCAGCTGGAGAGGGTGCTGGGCCATCTTGTCTAG